GAGGAGGAGGAGGAGGAGAAGGAGGAGGAGGGCTTCAGTGGCGGCCCGGAGTTACCTCCACGCTTGGCTCCCCCGCCCTTGCCGCCCGGAGCCACTCACCCGACGAGCCACCTCCCCTCCTCCCTGCGCTCCTTCGGGCCGCGGGCCGCGGGCCGCGCCGCCCTGCCGCCGAGTCCTAGGGTGAGCCGGCTCCAGATGGGGGCCCCGGGTACACGGGGTTTGTCACCGTTTGGAGGTGACCTGGGTGCCCCTCCGGGGTCCGCGTCCGCCTGCCGGGCTGTGCCAAGTGCGCGCCACCGCTGCCGAGGTCGCTGTGGCCGGCGAGGGCAGAGCCCTTGTGCGCACTGAGGCTCGGGACTGTGGGTGGGTGGGGGTGTCTGGGCGAGTTTAGAAACCTTTATTGACAAAGTGGAGTTGGGAGTTGTGGTGATGGAGAACGGAGGAGGCGCTGGACAAGCCAGGTGTCTGTCTGCGACTGTGCGCCCCTGCCTGAAGCTGTCGTGCGTGTGAATGAGGGGGGTGATAAAGTGTCGTTCCAGAAGAGCCTTGACACTTGCTTCTGGATGGTGGGCCGCCTCTCTCGGAGCACCGCTGCTTACGCGCCCGCGGCGCCCTGTAGAGCCTGGGAAGGGAGGCGAGTCGGATTCGCTGGGCGTCCGTCTGGTCCAGCGCGCAGGTGTCGCGGCGGGAAGCTGCAGGGGCGGGGTGTCCGCGGCTCAGAAGCGCAGAACGTAGGTGGGGCACTGGGGGTAAATCTCAGCTCAGGCAGTCGCGGGTCGGAGGGCTCATCCCGGAGGCGCTGTGCCCGGAGGGGACCTGGGGGCTGCCGTCGCACAGCCTCCGCTCCTGGGCCACCGCCTCATGACCGCGCTGCAGCCTCGGGCTCCCGCGCCCTGCTCATGCCTTGCAGGGGGCAGCTGGCGAGTAGAAGGGCTCCCGGGTCGAGCCGAGGGCGCGGGGTCCTCGCCTGGGATGCAAGAGAAAACGGGGTCCAGAGGAGGGTTCAGATCACCGCAGTGGCATCGCGCGTTTCCCTCCCTCTCGATCTTGCCCTGGCTCCAGCCTGCCCAAAGTGGCTCGGAGTGGCGGGCGCGCTGTAAGGCTCGGGTCTTTTATATTGCGCTTCCTCCGCCTCCCAGCCGATTTCCTCCTTCCCTCCTCTGTGCCCGCCCAGCTCTTCCCTCCCGGCCAGCCGAGCCCCCAGCCTAGGCATTCTCACACATCCATTTCGCAAATTTCCAAGCCCATCTCGCATCCTGGACTCCAATGCCGCCGGGATGGATCCTCCCGATTCTCTCTTGGTGACTGAAATTAAATAAACAAACAAACCTTTCTCGCCGACACGCCCCTCCCCCGCCCCGTGTCTGCCCTCCTCCTCCCGGTCCTACAAACTGAGGAAAGATTCTTAAATCAACCATCCTTCGGAGTTCACATCTTGGCGCAAAGCACCTCAGCCAAGTCTTACTCAAATTAAGACAAGAAACACTTTCATCATTCCGAAAGTTCCTCAGGTCACCGTGGCATTTTGCAGAATTTAAATAGCTGTGGTTAAGGAATGGTGTGCTGGTTGGGTTTATTTGTGTCAGGGCAAGGAAAGGCTAGCTGCCCCTTTAGAGTTGCCATGAGCATCTTTCAAGTTCTAACCAGCCATGGAGTCTTATTAATAAATTGGCAGCTTTTTATAAGGCACTCGATATCTTTTCCTTTTCAATATTTTTGGGGGGTGGGGAGAGAGGAGGGAGGAAGGGGAGATGTTTGGAGGGAGTGCTTGCTTTGGCGTTTTAGGTGGCCGGTCCTGTCAGGCATCTTATTGCAATCTCCAGCCTCTAAAATGCCAACAATTGTCAGCTGGAGAGATGGGGGAGAATCTGAAACAATAGACCTTTCGTGGTTCAGATGGGAGATCAAAGAGTGTTACCCCAGCAGCTTTCAGATCCCACAAGGATCCTCCTGTGTGTTTTCTAATTAGAATCACTCAGAAAGGAGGGGAGGGAGGGAGAATCAGCACATGGATGGAATATATAAATTAAGATAGCAAACAAGAATCCTGTAGCCAGAGAGAATTTAAGTCTGGCTCTAACCCTCACTTGTGCCAGATTGTGGTGTGGGCACACAGGGACAAACGACTTTCCTATTGCCTGAGGCAGGCTGGTCTAAATTAGAATCCAGGCGCTGCTGTGTCCTGCATTTTCATCACACACAGTCCCCACATGTGAGCCTCAACTGCTTCTCCTCTCATCTAAAATTAACGTTTTTGGATCCTAAGGAAAAATCACTTTTAAAAAACTCTGGAAAGAAATCCTTGCAGTGAGTGTAAATTCTTGTAAATTGGTAAAGGGAGAGTTGTAGATCAAAGTCGTTGTAAAAATTGTGAATTGAATTTTGGGGACAGAAGTCATTATAAAATGTTGAACAAATGTATGAATGAATCCTATTAAAATCCTTTCACGCTGTGAGATCCACATTCCAGGTGAGTCTGTGTTCTAGTAAGCACTCATAGCCAGTATTGATAGACGTCTGTGCTCTGTGACTGAAGTTGCAAACACGGCTGCCAGCAGTGCTCTGCTTTTGAGGAGTTAGGGAAAACTGGATTGCAGTTTTTGTGGAAAAAGAATTACAAATTTAATAGCCCAAACAAATTAAGTTTCAAGCACATCTATGAAATTGTACCAATAATTGATGAAAGTTTGAAAACTCCTGCTTCCTTCTTCAGAGTTCCCAGAGCACCTTAGTCATACCTTTATTATTGATCCCACTATGCCTTAGTAGAATGTGTCTGTTTGCATGTCTGCCTGCCCACCAGACCTGGATCACCTTTGTGGTAGAGCATTCCAGAGCACACCGCCCCACCCCCTCCAGTATCTAGTTTTCTTCTTCTTGAGTTCACAGCTAGGGAACACCTTCAAGCAACATTGGGTCTAGGTGGGACTGTAAAGAGCTGTTACTTCAAGGTCTGGCCATAAAACATCCCGAGTGATCATCTACACGCATTCTCTCCTTCCTTTCTACAGGGCAAAGGACTCTGGAGTGCAAGGAGCCCACATCTCTGACTTATTGCTCAAAGGAGAGCTATTGGACCAGGAATATCTGTATTTAACCTTTCACAGTGAGAAATAAAACTTTGTTGTTCAAAGCCACGGTGATTTTGGGATGTTTGCTACAACGACTGGTGTTACCCGTCCTGACAAGGACAATCTTCAAGACAGGGACACGTGCCTCATCATCGTTGTATTTCTAGAGCGGAGCACAATGCCAAGAGTGAGTAGTTGCTCAATCAGTGTTTGTTTAATGAATGTAACTAATGTGGTCTTTATATAGACCCAACTTAATAAATTAACTCTCCTTAGAGTGTTCCTCCTATAAGTGACTGACCTGTGAATATTAACTCTTCTGTCTCTTGATTGTACTATTCTCTTATAGACTTTGTCTTTTATTATTGGTCCATTTCTTTTGCAGATAAGCTTATTTGACTGGAATATTTGGAGAAAGTAAGAGAAATTGACAATAAGCCAGAATAGCTATAGTAAATATCATTGAGGAGAACCTTATAGTCTATTATGGTCAGGATTTTATTGTCTTTATTTTTTTTACTAAAAACCGTTGCAAGACAGCAAAGAGTTGTTTTAGTAATCGTAAAAAAAAAAAAACTTTTTATTATGGAAAATTTTAAATATATACAGAAATAAAGAGAATAGTATAATAAATCCTCACACACCCGTAATCCAGCTTCAACAAAACTCATGGCCAATCTTCTCTCATCTATATTCTCGTCTACTTCCTCCCTCTCGGATTATTTTGAATCAAATCCATAACATCATATCATTTCACTTGTACATATTTCAATATGTATCTCAAACAGGTAAAGGCTCAATTAAAAAAAATTAAACACATGCATACTGTATGTGAGGTGTAAAACAGATTAGAGAAGTCAAAACCAGAGACTTTTCCTGGGTGTAAGAATGATTAGCATTTAGGGATCGTGGTGGAGGCTGTTATGTGTTCACCAAAACATGTTTCCTCTTCTTTCTGAATATACTGGGAGAATACATTTCCCAATATCCTCTGCATTTAGATACAGCCATGTGACTGAGTTCTGGCCAATAGAATGTAGATGGAAGTGATGTGTGCCACTTCCATATTTAGCCCATAAAAGTTTCCTGTGTGTGCTTCTCTCTCTTTTCCCTCGTCTGCTGGCTGGATGTTTCTGCCCTGGGTGACTTTAGAGCAATGATCAGCCTGGATCCCTAGAGCAGAGCCCTCACCCACCCCCAACTCTGCCTAGAACACCCTTGCTGGGCTATTGTGTGATTGAGGAATAACTTTTAAAAATGTGTTAAGCCACTAAAATTTTGGAGTTTGTTACAGGAGCTTTCATTACCCTCGCTAATAGAGGGGGTAATGTTCTGAGAGGGAGGGGTAGCACATCTTTTCTTTTGAGAGCCAGATAGCAAATCTTTTTGTCTTTGTGGGCTACAGGGTCTCTGTCGCAACTATTCAACTCTGCCTTTGTAG